AAAAAAAAAAAGAGTCCTGTTATTAAGCTATCTCCAAACGAGCCTACTTGAGTGTGTCATCCCTTCCCTGTCAGGACCCCCAGTTGACACAGGAGACAGGTGTGGAGATGGACAGTTACCAAACACTGGATTCATGCAGTAGGATTGCTGAGAACTGCGCACAATGGGAGCCCTCAGGCGGAGCCCCAACCTCCCGGGTCTGTCCTCCCTACAGGCAGCGCCTTCGGCTCTGGGGTCAGCATCCAAACCCTCTCACATCCTGCCTGGCCCCCCAGACCCGCCTGCCTGGGGAGGACTCCAGAGCCCAGAGCGCACCCCTGGCCGCTCCTCCACCCCCACTTACCCGGGAAATGCCCACGATCTGCTCGTCGGGCAGCAGGCTGACGCGCATGAAGCAGGACTCGAAACTGGCTTCCTCGCGCTCCAGGAGGTCCTTGCCCTGCAGCACGGCCACGTGGAGGGTGTGGGAGGCGGCATCGTAGTCCATGCTCACCTCCACCTGGCCCAGGGTGAAGTCCTGCCCGAAAGTGTTGCTCACGGAGGAGATGGAGTTCAGGGAGTCAGCCGACTGGGACTTCCGGAGGGTCCCGTAGGGGGCCAGGTCCAGCTCACGGCCCATCAGCTCCAGGGGCCCCAGCTCGCTGATGCTCTCAAAGGTGTCCTCGATGCTGAGGCTGCCTTTGCGACTGGGTGGTCCTCGAGCAGTGGCCCTCGGGGCACTCCAGGCAGACACTCTCTGGGGGTGAGAAAAAGGGACATGGGGGCCTCACAAGGGCAATAGGCACAGTCTGGAGGAGATGGCGAAGAGATGCTGTAAGTCCTGTTCATTGAAGGCACCTCCAAGTTCCCCTTCTGCCAAAACAAGGCACGCCTTAGGTAGGAAGGTCCTTGTTTAATGTTATTTTGTGTCACTCAGTTTTCTCTCTCTAACCAGAATGTAAAAGAGCTTTTCTCAAAATGTTTATTTACATGGACTGAGTTCCATACATAAAGACGTTCGCTGCAGTGATGTTTATAAAAAAAAAATAGTTAGGGGGCCGGCCTGGTGGCATAGCAGTTAAGTTTGCATATTCCACTTCAGTGGCCCGGGGTTCGCAGGTTTGGAGCCTGGGCGCGGACCTATGCACTGCTTATCAAGCCATGCTGTGGTGGTGTCCCATATAAAGTAGAGGAAGATGGGCACGGATGTCGGCCCAGGGCCAATCTTCTTCAGCAAAAAAGAGGAGGATTGGGAACAGATGTTAGCTCAGGGCTAATCTTCCTCAAAAAGAAAAAAAAGTTAGCAACCTAAGTGTCCAGCAGAAGGGTAATGGGTAAGAATACTAGAATATAGCTACTCAATAGATGATCAAGCAGCCTCAAAGGAAGTTTACAAAAATGTCTACAACATGAGAAAGGTTTCATGTTGGGTAACACTCACCCTAGTATTCAAATTTTCCTTTTCTTTAAATTGACCTTGGCACTTGAGAAAACAAAAGCCTTTGTACCATAAGCATCTCTCATGTTGCTGCATAGTCTTCATTGCCATAATTTTTGTGTGTGTGTGAGGA